TGTGTCCATTTATTCAAATGAAGCAAATTGGCTATAAAAGAGTATAAATTGTGGTATATTTTGGCCTCGGATGATTCATGTGGTTGAATGGTATACAAGTTATATGTTTGAGAATGTCCGACATATGGGAGACTCTGCCCAAACTTGAGTTGTTGTGATCCCAATAAAAGGGATATTGTGACATGGTGTTAGGTTATGCGACATTCACGGGTATTTTTCGTTAGTTGATGAATGATCAACGGGTTAACAAAAGACCCTCAGTTTTAGGGGCGTCACAATAATAAATACATGAATTTTATAACAAAAATTCATGTTGTATTATGTCATTTATTGAAATAAAATCAAAAATAAAAATTTAAATTTTTTTAAAATCATAATTAGTATACAATTATACTATATATTAGAATAAAACTAAAAAAATTAAACAAGAGATCAAATTGTAATAAAAATAATATATTCTATTTTTAATTGAGATAATTTTATAGTTTAATTTGGTCATTTAAAAAATAAAATTAAATTCTAACAGATAGTATAATTATATACTAATTAAAATTTTTTAAGAAAAAATTAAATTTTTATTTTTAATTTTATTTCAATAACTATCATAATAAAATATGAATTTTAGTTATAAAATTTAAAATATTTAATATTCTATATTTAATTAGAGTATTTTTAATCTAAGTATAATATTTTAAATTTAAAGAATTTAAGTATTACACGTTTATAAATTTTAAAGGGATTAAATATAATTTATTATAACGGACATCGATAACAGAATTTAATTATTATGCGTTTATAAATTTTAAGAGTTTGTATATAATATTTTAAAAAACACGTCCACAAATCTTACAGAATTTAGGTGTAATTCTCCCGTTAATATAAAATGCCGAGCTTTTTCCTTTAGGCATTTTACCCAAATCGTTTCAAGCCTTTACCACCCCAGGCATCCGGCAGTGCTCTGCCCCTCTGCCTTGTCGACGGTCGACGACTTTCTGCCGACACCTCTCTCTCTCTCTCTCTCTGCGCCGTGAGCAAGCAAGGGAGTCCTTAATCGAAGTGGAACGAGTGAAGGAACACAAGCTTCGAACAAGAAGGCTGCTTCAGAGCTTCCATCGAGGCTTCGACGACTGCCATTGACAGTAGCAGGTACAAACTCTCTCCCTCGGTGTCTCTTTCAGTCTTTCTACTCTGACTCTGACTCTCGGCTGAACAATGTCTCTCTCTCTCTCTCTCTGTATCTGTGTATATATATATATATTTATATATGAAAGTTTATAGTAGTTATATGTGTTTTTAAGTTAAAATTTGGGTTGTAATGAACTGGATTTTCGTGGGTGTAGAGATTTATGTCCTTGGGAGCGAAGAAAACGCTGAAAGAGGAGGCAATTGAGAGTTTGAAATCAATGACGCCTTGAATCTTTGATTATTCACTGATTTCTACATGGATGGAAGCTCATACATTGAATAATTCAATGATTTATAAATGGATAATTCAATGATTTATACACTGACTCGATTTATACAGATTGGGCATTTATCTCTACTTAACTTTACAAGTTGAATTGAAAATTGAGTGCATTTGATACATGTGCGATGAGTTTTCTATACTTAACTTTACATGTTTGATGTTATTTCCATAATTATTGTATTTTTTAGCCTATTTATAATTATTTATAATTTTTTATTATATTATACGTCTGACCTGTTAACTCAATTCTTGAACCATTTACCCATCGACCTGATCCCTTTCCGAGTGACTGGATTCTAAAACAATGAAGCATATTGAGATTGACCGCCACTTTGTGGACCATCACATTCAGTTGGACACCATCTCTCACCTTTTTCTTGCTTCTACCATGCAATTAACAAACTGCTTTATAAAGCCTCACACCATACCGCATTTTTGTTTTTTTTTTGACAAACTTTTGATGTTTTCCGCAATCATATCATGAGTTTTAGGGGAGAGGGGTTGTTAGAGTAGTCTGGTATACTTTGAATTATAGGGGCAGTTTAGTCTTTTCTTTTATTTGATGTTGGCCTACTATATAAGGGCCTCTGTTATGTATCTTAAGTTTTGATGTTGTTGCACAGTCTTACTGTGCACGTAATAATATTTCCTCTTTCTTTTTCTTCTTTTCTCTTTCTTTGATAAAAGTTTACAATGGGAATTCTATGCTGTGCCCAAATTTCAAAAAAACTTTCTTGTTCCCGAAAAAGGTGTTTACTAATTATTTGGTAATTAGTTTCGATGTACTGGTATGTTGACGATCAAGGACCATTTCGCCTGATTAATGATTCATCTCAAGGGAATGGATGGGATTGTTATGTTTGGGGTGGGGATCTGATCTCAAAGATTCTGGTTTCACTGGAATTGGGCTAACTACTCTTACTAGATAGAATTTGCTGCTGGATTGGACTTCATATCTATGCATGGGAAACATTAACTGTGTCTGTAAATTTTTTTGGCTAATCTATTGGAAAACTTCTTTGTCCTTGGTTTTGTGGTCATCTTGCTCTCAACTTAATTCTCTTAGAATTTGTGAAGTATTTTTGTTAAGTGCAAGGCACCGGTTCTCTAGTTAAGTTCCCCAATCTATTAAGTTAACCGCGTATATAGTATCTTCAATGATTATTAGAGTTGGACTTTATTATTTTGAGCCTCAACTAATTTGTTAATGCCAAAGTTCATATGGTGCTAGACCTCGTGCATGGTACGTTTTTGAAAATTGCCCATCTTTACCAAGAATTAGCTTATAAAAGTTTCACATACCGGAGAAGCTATTTCTGCTTGCTTACTCATTTATGTTCTTTGCTACACTATGTGTGATTTGGAAGTAATGGAATGGGAGGATTTTTGTGGATGAAAATGAAGAGTTTGGGGGTCTTTGGGATAGAATTTATTTTTTGGCATCTTTTTGACTGCTTGTCCCCATTTGTTTTTGTTTTCTTGTAATGATCTCTTGTTATCAATAAAATTTGTGTTTATTATCGAAGAAAAATAAACGGCCTCGTGACTTTTTTATGACTTTGAATGTTCATCTTGACAAATAAATTTTGTTTTTCCTGCTGCAGGGTTGAAATAATGATCTAGTGATGAATGTAATATCGTCCAATCTGACGTATTTTCCCTATAGGGTTTGTGCTGCACAGCGCTATTTGTCCCTGAAGCTTCCATCCATTTGGTAGGTTGTAGACTATGGCATTACGTGAAAAAGGTGAGTGACCCAGACATTTTAATCCAGCAGTGTATTTCATTTAACTCTTGCTTGTAAACGTGAAACTTAAAGGGGATGATTTAGGACTTAGCTATACGATGAAGCAACTTTAGGACTAAATGAGTTTGATTTCTTTTGAAGGAAGTATTTTGCAATTACAACTTGGAGTTGCTAGGTTCGAAACGGCTAGTATGTATATGTAACTAATGCTTCTTTTGGACCTTTGTTTCTCCACTCTTTTAAGACTTCCTAGGAATTTTGAGTCACACTTGGTTGGGAATCAATCATCATGCAACTCAAGCATGATATGGGAGAACAAATTCGAGGTGGTACCTTGTTTTCAATCATGATGATCTGAAGTAGTGTCAATATTTTGGGTGTCACTCACAATTAACAAATCATTTACTAGGATCTCCTGGTGTAGATGTTGGCAAGTTATACTGAGAGAAGGTTGCCGGTGTTAGCAAACAGCCCATACCCATTAGCTAAAATATTACATCGCCTCATATGGTGAATTTCAATACTGAAACATGCATGGGGCAGCATCTTTTTGGTTTGAAAGCTCTCTCTTATCGCACTTTCTTACAAACAGAAATATGTTGAACACATGGGTCGAGGAGTTGTCCTTAGCCTATGTAATATTCTCATTTTCAAAGAATTTTTTACTTCTTATAAGTAAAAGATGCTGTATTTCACTGTAGATATTACTCTTTTGCAAATGACATCAAGCATAACTATGTGTGCAATAGGGTTTTGAGAGAAGATATAAGATGTAAAACAAGTCCCATAAGTCTTTGTTAGGCGAAGTTGAGTAGAAGCAGCTCATGAGTCATTATCCATGCACCTGTGTAAATATAGCTCAACTCCTGACCCTGCTGGCCTTCTAATTAACTTTAACCAGTAACAGTTTTCACCTTGTTCATTGCTTGCGCTACAAGCTGGTGATGTTTGATTGTTCCTTTGGTATTAACTCGAACTTATTTGAATGATTATTTGGTTTGCAAATTAATATTCTGCATATGGTTTGAGTGCCTTTCATTACAGTCCTGCGCAAGAAAGCACAGAAGTTTGAATTAAAAGGGTTACAGAAGCATAAAGTAACCATGGGATACATACCTGCACTTGAGGAAATACTTCATGAGATTCATGTCACTAATCTTCCAAAACCTAGTGATTATGACAATCGGAAAGATTTGGTTCGTGTCTTCAATGAAATAGCCAAGGAAATCTATGGTAATTTTTTGTACATAACTTCACTAAACCATATACTTCCTCAATGCATACATGCTATGTCATTTTCATATTGCTAGGCAAAATTCATAATAAACTCCAGAGGATGAGCACACAACCCATGTACAGCCAGAGTCGTGCAAAGGGGACAAATCGAAAAAACTATGTTGAACTAGCTCAATGAAAAATTCTCCAAAGAGCTCTAAAATGGCATCTAAAGGCCCAGGAATAGGGGTGAAACCGAGCCGAGTCTAGGCGAATTTTGGGTTGTTAATGTAATGCCCCAAAACACACCCTGGATGACATTACATTCTAAAACCATTCATATCATGAGAGCACTAATATAATCCCTTAAGAAACAAGACTTCATTTGTCATCCACGAATATTTACAACATTATCCAAAAGAATAAGCCCAAGTCATGGCTATTACATCGCAAAAATTAATTAAGGAAGCGCAGCGGAATAAACAAAAGAAG